CAGAGAAAACAAAAATCTTTCATGACAAATCAATTTTGCAAAAAAATTTCTCTCCAGGACAGAAAGTTTTATTGTACAATTCGAAATTGCATCTTTTTCCGGGAAAATTAAGATCAAGATGGACTGGTCCATTTTTTGTTAAACAAGTTTTTCCACATGGAGCTGTCGAGATAGAAAATCCTAAAAATGCTAATATTTTTAAAATAAATGGTCAACGTCTAAAACCATTTTTAGAATTTTCTACACTCGGAGAGGAAGAGGTGTTGGTTCTTCATGAACCTCATTATCTATAAAAAAACTAATTTTCATTTTGTTTCTTAAAAAAAAAATTTCTATTGTTTTTAAAAAAAAAATAAAAAAAACAAAAAAATAAAATTAAAAATAATTACTTACAATTTTTCTCTTATTTGATTTCTTCATCCTCATACTAACAGTAATTGCAGATCCTTATCATCATTGTCAACCGAACAACTGTAAGTTCTCCAATTTTATCTGCTTTACTTTGTGCTTCAGCGAATTTGCATTGAGGACAATGCAAAATTTAGGTGTGGGGGTGAGAAATACATATTTTCCTCTTTATTTTACCTTTTTAGTTATATTTTTCTTTCTTTTTGTTAAAAAAAATTATAAAAATATTGTCACTTGCCAAATTAATAGAGTTAAGTAATAATTGATCAAATTGATAGATTTTAAATTTTTTAATTCTTAGTTAGTGACATATTCAAGTTCACCTTTTATGATAACTCCAAATAAAATTATTAAGAAATGATTTTTCAACTAGTATACTTTACTTAAGCCTTACCTTAGATTTTTAATTAAAAATAATGAAATTTTTGCATGCTTAACTTAGAGTTGAAAATATTTTTTTCAAGTTATCTTGATTTATACATTTTTTTAAAAGACTATATATACTTACACATATATATATTAAAAAAAAACTAACCTTATAAAAGAAGAGTGCGAAAAATGGGCACCACAAAAAAAAAAAACTCTTAAATTCAAGGTGATTCTATCTTATAAAGCCTAAGTTGACTGAGTAATTAAGCCCAAGGAGTATCTCTATACTTAATGACCTAAGCCCAATTGGGTTGGGATTCATTGGCCCAAAACTCGTTAAATGGTCACTTAGAAAGCCCGTTAAAATAGAAAACAATCACCAAGAATTAGAGAGTGAAAAAAAAAATATATATATATAACTAACCATTGTTTTTATATATATATTTGTATATATGGTCTTGAAAAATAATTTTTGATCAAGAGACTTGAAAGTTATTTAAAACAAAGAGTTAGCATGTTCTTTTCAAAACTTTTTAATTAAATTTCTAAGATTTGACTTGGTTTTGTATTGCTATAATGAAAAAGAATTTCTAGGGGATTTACATTGGAGTTATATATAAAAACGTTTTCTTGATTATTAACTAGCTTCAATTAGAATGTTTAAATATATCAAGGAAAATCTGTTATTTACTGACTTATTTAACTTGGCAAGTTGACCGAATTTTGTGGGTATATTCACTGCAAACCCTCACGAGACTACAACTCGTCCACTAGGGTAACCTAGGGGTTTAAAGGCTTGTTGTATGCGCTAAATACAACCGCGATTCCTGCGAAAGTGAGTTAGGATTTTCTTTTTATTTTCTTTGCTAGAGGACTAGCAAAAGTTTAGGTGTGGGGGTATTTGATAATCACATTTTATTATAATTTTATACCCTCATTATCTATTTTATATGAATAAATATACCACTAATAATTGTTTTTATCTTTTAATTGCAGGTTAATGAAGAATAAATCTCAAATTCCCATCTCTCAACAAAAAGCCCATGATTAAATGAAGAAATGAAGCCAATTGGAAAATCAATTTCCAAATTATCCAAAAGCCCAAGCTAAGAAAAAGAAGAAAAGCCCAAGAAATGCCAAAGCCCAAAATAAATACATGAAGAAATCAAGAAGCCCAAAAGCCCAAGCAAAAGCCCAAAATCCAAGTCCAAAAGCCAATAGAAGAGGAACTCTGCGGACAGCAAAAGGAGAAGGGCAGGCATCGATGCCTGCATCGATGGCGGCATCGATGCCTGCATCGATACCGACATCGATGCCTGCATCGATGCCTGTATCGATGCCTGCATCGATACGCTGGGCAGTCTGTTACGAATCTAAGGCTGAAATTTGTTGTTTTTGGATAAGATTTCAATCCAATGGCTCTCATTCACTGATGTTTACTATAAATAGGGGTAGAGAGTGAGGGGTTAGAGGTGTGAAAATTTTGTAAACTCCTTTTGGAGAGGAGGGCTACTCTTAATTGAGAAGGCCTTCCAAAAATTGTAACTTTAGTTGCAATTAATAATAATAATTTTTTCACCACTTTAAATATTTCTTCTCTTTGTTGGATGATGAAGATGGAGATGAAGAATTATTTAGAGGTTTGCATTTTCTTTCCTTTTTCTCTTTTATTTCCTTTTTATTGCTTATTAGTGTAGATTTATTTCTATGCTTGTAGTTTAGATTTTATTTTCTTGTTAAATAGCCAAGAGGCTAGAACCCTCTTGCCTTAGATTTATTTCATGCTTATAGAATAGATTTAATTTCTTGCATTTAATTCTTGCAATTTTATTTTGTAGTTTAGATTTTGCACTTTATTTTGTAGTTAGATTTTAATTTCTTATACTATTCACCTTGAGGCTAGAACCCTCTTGGGTTTAGTTTTTCTTTTTGTTTATTTTTATTTTGTTTGATTCGCCTTTAGGCTAGAACCCTCTAGGGAATCACCCTTTTCTAAGAAGTGGGTTCAATTGTAGATTACCCATATCTATAATTGAATCCACCATCTTTAATTTCTTGCATTTTCTTTTATTCTTGAATTTTATTTTCTTTATTCTTGATTTTTATTTTCCTTTTCCTTCTTGCCTTATTGATCATATTCATTCTTTGTCACATCCACTCTCACTTATATCTCGTGCCGATTTACACACTATCACTTCCACTCTCTCTATCTCTCCACAATCACATTCACTTATCACTCCTACTTGTCACACACACAACATAAGAACCGATTTTATATTTTCTCCTACAAAACACCTTCCTCGTGGGATCGATATCTTAAATACTATAACTTGACACGGTTGTGCACTTGCAACCTTTTTGGTACATGTTTATGCCGCATCAAGTTTTTGGCGCCGTTGCCGGGGAAGGTGCTTAAGTAGGTTTTAATTATTTTGGTTCTTTAACTTGTGTGTTTATTGTGAAAGAACTACTTGGAGATTAAAGATCAAGAATTGGAGATTGAGGAATTGGATATTCGCTTGTGGTAAGTCTTCTTCCTTATATTTTCAATTCCACACCTTTAGTTAGTTTCTCACAATTAGTGACAATTAGGATCTTAAAAAAAAAAATTATTTCCGTAGACCATAATAAAATTCACCCTTCACTTTGACATTTACTAACAAGATAATAAATTCAAACAAATCCCCCCTTCTCATTTGTTTGATTGTTAACCCTAATTAAAAAAAAAGATTTTTCTTTTCCATCCTTTTTAGTTGCTTTTAATTCATAGGGTTGCATTTCATATAGTGTAGGAATTCACCAAGTGATTTGAGCATCTTGATTTGACACACACTTAAAAATATTTTTAAGGGCAAAACCCCATAATCAAGATAAGGTGAGGGATTTCATCACCCTTTCCTTAGCCCAAAAATCACTAATTCCTCACTACACCACCCAAGCCTAATAAAACTCATTGGTGGACGCCACACCTTGGTGTGGTAGGGTCTGGAAGTGATTTAATATTTAGGTATTCAGCATATCAGGAGTGTGGCGGACACCACCCCTGGGTGTGGTAGGATATGGAATTGAATTGGAGACTGTCGCCTGACAGCTACACGGCTGTGTCTGTGGGTGGTGGACGCCACACCTTGGTGTGGTAGGGTCTGGAAGTGATTTAATATTTAGGTATTCAGCATATCAGGAGTGTGGCGGACACCACCCCTGGGTGTGGTAGGATATGGAATTGAATTGGAGACTGTCGCCTGACAGCTACACGGCTGTGTCTGTGGACACAACCTGGCCGTGTAACCTGATTATTCAATAGTTTTCCTTAGTCTTCTCCTTCTGGTTGTTCTTATCCTTGAACTCTTTGCTACCCGTCTCGTTATCCACCTGCGTAATAACTCACATCAACCTAATTAGAAAAGTAATTAAAATCAAACACTAGAAAGAAAAATAAAGTGAAAGAAAAACTTGGGTTGCCTCCCAAGAAGCGCTCGTTTACAGTCATGAGCTCGACCCCTTCGATGCTCACAATGATTATGGATTGGGGAGGATAAAAGTATCCAACTTCTCGATCAGAGTGCCCGTAAAATAGTGCTTTAACCACTGTCCATTGACTTTGAAGGTTCCCATGGCCTCACTCCATACTTCAACAGCCCCAAATGGGTATACCTTACGCACTTGGAATGACCCTGACCACCTTGAACGAAGTTTGCCCGGAAAAAGCTTGAGTCGAGAATTAAATAGAAGTACCAAGTCTCCTTCTGTAAACTCTCTATGGAGGATGTGTTGATCGTGCCACTTCTTTATTCTTTCTTTGTAAATCTTGGCATTCTCATATGCATCTAACCTTAATTCATCGAGTTCATTTAGTTGAAGCTTTCTCTGTTCTCCTGCTTCTTTCAAATCCAAATGAATGCTCTTGATAGTCCAATGTGCCTTTTGTTTTATCGTAGGTGCGATTTTTCCTCCACAAACCTGTTCTGGACTTTTTCTGCTGCTTTTTGACACAGCTGTGTTTACGGACACAACCTGGTCATTCAACCCCCTTGCAATTTCGACCACTATATCAGGTTCCTTGCTGTAGGTAGTTTTGGTGTAGGTGAGGCTTTCATCAAGCATTGTAACATAATAAGTTATTTCCTGATCATCATCATCTAGTACTCCATTCTTTACTTAACATTTCTCAAGTGGATCACTTGAGATAACTCTAGTAAAATCTTCTCTAACCACCATGTCAATCATGTCAATCCTGCAACAAGTATCATCAATTAGTGGAAACTTCATAGTAGAAAACAAATCAAAATTCACCTTTTCATCCTTTATATTAAGAGAGAGAGCTTTCCATTCTTCACATCAATTATCGCACCAGCGGTAGTAAGGAAAGGTCTTCCCAATATAATGGAGACTTGAGAATCCTCCTTAATTTCAAGAATAACAAAATCAACCGGAATAAAGAATTTACCAACCTGGATAGGTACATCTTCTAATTTACCTATTGGACGTTTAACCGATCGATCTGCTAATTGGAGGGAGATAGTGGTGGGCTTCAAGTCTCCTATCTGCAACTTGTTAAATATAGACAATGGCATAAGACTGACACTAGCACCAAGATCACATAGAGCACGATTAATTGACATATCACCAATTGTGCAAGGAATTGAAAACGAACCAGGATCTTTAAGCTTAGGTGGTAGCTTATTTTTTATGATGTCACTACACTCTTGAGTTAAGGCTACGGTCTCATACTCCTCTAATCGTCTCTTGTTTGATAGAATTTCCTTTAAGAATTTGGCATAGGAGGGCATTTGGAAAATGACTTCAACAAATGGGATGTTAATATGCAATTTTTTTAATATTTCTATGAATTTCCCAAACTGTTTTTCTAACTTAGCTTTAACTTGCCTTTGAGGGAAGGGTAGTGGAGGCTTATAAGGTGCAGGTGCTACATATGGGTAGTGGAGGCTTATAAGGTGCAGGTGCTACATATCTCTCAACCTTCTCCCCTTTCTCACCAATATGCTCTTTCTCACTTGTCACCAACTTCTCACTCTCAACCTTCTCCCCTTTCTCACCAATATGCTCTTTCTCACTTGTCACCAACTTCTCACTCTCATCAATCACATCCCTATGATCACTCCTTATCATTGGTTCCTCTAGATCTTTTCCACTCCTAAGTGTAATGGCATTGATAGTTCCCTTGGGGTTTGTTTCAGGTTGTCCAGGAAACATACCCAAAGGCCTAGAAGAAGAGTTAAATTGTTGGGCTAATTAAGTGACCTGATTCTCTAGCATTTTGTTGTGGGTGGCTAAGGAGTCAACTTTAGAGGCTAGGTTCCTAATAGCATCATTCATTATCCTATTCTGATTTCTAAATTCTTCATTCTGCTTATTCTGGGATGTCATGAAATTCTCCATCAAGCTCTCCAAGTTGGACTTTTGGGGACTAGGGTAAGGGAGTCTAGGGGTATGAAAACCTAGAGGTCGAAAATTTGATTGGGGAGTTGGGTTCTGGGGTGGATTTTTATAGGATAAGTTAGGATGATTTCTTCACCCCGGGTTGTACGTATTTGAAAATGGATCCCCTTTTTGATTAAAATTATTCATATAATTAACATGTTCAGATAGTGGTGCATCAGGAGAAGGGGAGTTTCCAATCTGACATTCCATAGCAGAATGTCCAATGATACCACATATTTCACAGTTAGTAGAGTTAGATGCTACCGAATTCATGCTCATCTTGTCAAAATTTTGAAATAAAGCATCTACTTTAGAAGTAATATGGTCTAATGCATCTACATAATACCTCCCGTTCTTTTTGGGTAAAGAGCGCTCACCTGACCATTGGAAATGGTTCTGTGCCATGTCCTTTATGAGCTGTTTTGCATCTCGTACACTTTTGTTCATCAATGCACTACCAGCTGCAGCATCCAAGGTCATCTGTGACGCCCCTGGTTTCAACAAGGTTGCAATCCAAGGTAAAACCAAGAATGTCAAACCTGTCATGCACTACACTGTGTAATAACATGCTTCACCATCACAATTACTATCTATCTAGTGGAATCAATAGCAGGTGTAGGTACACAACAAGCAAGAGAGAATATACAAAAGAAATACTAAACAAATAGATGTTCTGAAGAAAAATCATCACCACTGATAAAATGGATAAATCTCTGAGAAGAAAACATCTGAACGGATACACTTGTCTCACAATAAGAATTCAAATGAAATAACATTAAGGCACTCTGCCTTTACAAAGCTAGAAAGAACATTTCAATGTTCATAAACAAAATCATCGTGGAGCCCTAACAGTAAACTGCTGATAAAAAATCTATAAATAATAACTAGAGCAAATCCATCAAGCACGGCTCTCCGTGCACCTAGCTCGTTACCTGAAAGTGGAGGAAACAACGAGCGTCAAAGCTCTATAGCGAGTAACATCTCAACCAACCCTAAGGGGAAGGGCTAGTTGGATTAAAAATAACTGATAATACATATAGATAGTCAAAACATTTGATCTGAAATAAAATGGAAGTTTGATATTTAGGGATTTACTACATGTGTGTGGATATGTCAACCATCCCATAAGCTCATATTGTAAATAGCTAACTATCAAATCCAACTACAACTTGGAGCAATACCTCCATCTCAAACTATATAAAAAATGTCCTTTCAAATATCAGAATACTTGTTCAACTCATGAACTTCATCTACTATATCTTAGATAAGGCAAAATCCACTGAATGTCCAACACATAGACTGCATGTAACAAATGTATAACACATGGACTGAAATAGGAAAAAGCCTAACACATGGACTATATATGAGGTAGGTCCAACACATGGGCCGCAAAGCTACGTGTCCAACACATGGACTGAAATAAGCAAATGTCCCACACATGGACTATATGATCAAGGTCCAACACATGAGCCGCAATAGCTACGACTAAAAGCATATATATACACTATTCACACTTATATCTCGGTGAATAAAACAAGTCTCTAGTCTATAGTCAACTTATGTACAAAATTCTCAGTGTTTAACAAACCTAAATAACCCAGAAATCTTGCCAGCCACACGACGTATGCACAACTAAATAGTGCAGAAAACTGACTCGTGATCGACCGTCGTGCCCACCTTGGTCGACCGCACAGAGAGCAGGAACTTCCTGTTCTTCTGTGCTCCCCAGTGGTCGACCGCCGAGCCAAGCCCAGTTGACCGCGATTGACTATCGACCATAGTGCCCAGCACGGTCGACCGCAATCAAAACAAATACAAACCCTAAACCTGTGCACGCTATGCGGTCGACCGCCACGTCCACCGTGGTCGACCGCGCAGAAGCAGAAACTGTTTTTCCAGTTTTTGTTCAACGTGGTTTTGATCTCGAACTACGTGTGTGATGTTTATATATGCAACCCTATACATGTGATTTAGCATATCTGGAACATGAGATAAACAATCTAATCACTATAGACAAAACGAAACAATTTAAAACATGCATATTCATGTCGAAACCTTCGAAAACAATTATTTTTCTTTCAAAATTCTTGTTTTAAAAATATTTTCAGATCTAGATCTGCATTAAGAAATTCATTGGTGATCTTATTAACTAAAAACTTGTTCTCTTTGCAATATACAATAATAAGATCTATGTTTATACATAAACTAGCATGTTAGGCTCACAAATCACAAGAAAACAATTATTAAAAAGCATTTAAAACTGTTTATACATAAACTAGCATGTTAGGCTCACAAATCACAAGAAAACAATTATTAAAAAGCATTTAAAACTGGGTAAGGGATTGGGCAAGATGAAACTCGCCTGAGGGGTGATGAACTACTGTGGGTAAGGTCGTGAGAAGGTTCTCCTTCACTAAACGCCGCTGGATCTCGCTCGAACTCCTCGAAATCCTCCAAAATCGCCCAAAGAACAAGCTAGGGTTTGCAAGAGGGCAGGGGGAGGCTGCTAGGATTTTATCTGACAAAAAGGAGGCTCCCACGAATAAAATAATATATATATGAGCCCTCAAACCCGACCCAAAACCCCAAACTAACCCAAAAAGAATAAAAAGGAGGCTCCCACGAATAAAATAATATATATATGAGCCCTCAAACCCGACCCAAAACCCCAAACTAACCCGAAAAGAATAAACTGGAAAAACTCCCAGGGGTCGACCGTCACGGTTGACCGCGCAAGAGACAGAGGCCTCCTGCCACTGCTGCGCGCGTGGCAGTTAACTGCCACGGTCGACCGCGTAGGTTTTCTCCTTTTTGTGCATGTTGTGTGTGTGTGTTGGTCTTGACACTTGGTCTCTCTCATATAAAATATACTTATTTGATCCCCAAACACTTGTTATCTCATTCATCTATGATATAAACATATATTTCATAATAAAAACTTATTTATCAAATTTCACAGGGTTTTACATCATCCTTGTGTTGTAGAGAAGACTATTGTAGAAATTATGAATTATGAGCCAATCCTCCAACCTGTGATGTGGACACATTCTTAGAAGGTCCTTGTACCTCTCCCATGCATCATACAATGACTCCCCTTCTTTTTGAGTGAAAGTTGTTATCTGATTCCTCAACTGGGCTGTTTTGTTTAGAGGGAAGTATTTAGTAAGGAATGCTTCTGACAGTTGGTCCCAAGTAGTGATGAAGCCTGGTGGAAGTGATTGTAGCAAAGCCCTTGCTTTGTCTCTTAGTGAGAAGGGAAATAACCTTAGCTTGATTGCGTCGTCCGACACTCCATTCATATTCAGGGTGTCATAATACTCCAAAAAGATTAAGAGATGGAGGTTTGGATCTTTGGTAGGAGTACCACCAAACTGGTTTTGCTGAACCATGGTAAGGAGTGAAGGTTTGTATTTGAAATTATTGGCAGCAACATTAGGTTTCACGATGCTAGACTGGGAGCTATGGGTGGTTGGTGATGCAAACTCCTTCAAGGATCGGTCTTGATTGCCTTGGTTTTCTTGGTCTCACATGTTGTTTCTTCTTTTCAAACTGTCTTTTGTTTCTCGTACCCTCTTACTAATATGACGTAAGGTCCTTTCAATCTCGATATCACACTCGATTAGTTCTCCAAGTCGTAAGGATCTGGGCATACAAGGGTGCCTGCACAAGAAAACAAAGAAACAAGTCAAACGTAAAAATAAAAATGAAACAAATGAAAGAAAAACTCTAGTCTGGTCAAACAATAAAAAAGTCAATATTAACAACGCCGAAGTTCCCGGCAACGGCACCAAAAACTTGTTCACTCAAATCCACAAGTGCACGGATATCGTTGTAGCGATGCAAGGTAATATCCTTAGGGATTTCGTTGTTAATTACTGATTTTCACTGTTTTGTGACTATCTAAACCAATCGTACTAAAATGTATGATTTTTAACTATAAATAATGAACACGCTAACTAGCGAATACACTCAATTAAAAGAATCTAGGATTGAACTTCGGTTTCAACTCTGGTTTGAATCAACAAATTAATCAATTGTTATTGAATCTCTCAATGCATTAAGAACGACTAACCTATGATAACTATTAGTCTCTTTCGACGACTAAAAGTCGTGCCTGATTCAATCTAACAACCTATTTTCATGGTGTTAAACTAAATTAAACTCATTAAGTTCACGTTAGTCCCTTATGTTCCCAAGAATAATTAACCTACTTTCGTGATCAATTAATTCTCGTTCAATTAACTATTTTCCGGCGTCAATCTAACCTTTCAGTTCAAATCAACATCCTAAAGGAGTCAAATCAGTGGCTAATTGAATTAACCCTAGGCAATTAGATACTAGCAATTGAATAATGCAAATCAAATAATTAATGATAACAACAAGATCAGTTCATCAATTTATAACCATAGTCGAACCTAATTCAATCCTAGAAAAAATGATTACTCACACATAATTGAAATAGAAGACATTATAACAATGTATAAGATCATAATTATAAACTGGAAAATAAGATAAATTAGAAAAATAAACTGTAGCGTCGAAATCAAGATGTTGCACACAATTCTTTACAACCAACACTTTGCCAAATTACAGAAATCCTAATCTAAGAGTTTTTAGAGAGATGGGGAGAAGAAGAAGAAAGAAAAATTGAAATCTCCAGACTCTGGTCGTTTTTCTTACCTCTGGGCGTCCTCATTTAAGTTATGGGAAAGATCGCGTTAACAGATAACTTCAAATCTTGCTTCAAATCTCGTAATAACTGAATACTGATACCGACACAGCTGTGTATATCAACACGACCAGGCCGTGTTTAACTCTGTAGCATGAATTACTGTAGCATGAATAGTGATTTTTGGGTCCTCCCATTATTATAGAGGAGTAGATATGTTGCACATAGACGTATGCTTATTAGATATTCACAATAAACACATAGGGCAAAAAAAAGTCTAAAATGAAATGAACTTTTGTATAATCCCATAAAAAACATAGAATGCTCACAAATAAATTCTATTTAATGCATTATTCTAAATAATTTTTATTTTCTTTTATCTCCTTGTCATTGAGCATGACTTATTATTATTCATGAACTTTAATAATTATTATCATTTACATATAACTGCTTAATTATCTATTTCTTTTATTTAAATATGGAAATATCTTAAATTATTGTACATAACCTTTCTCTATCATGACTAGTTATAAACGTTTTGATTGTTAAGTCAGGCTACATTCCAGCTAATAATGATGCCAACGTTAAAATTTCATATCAATAAAATATGAATTTGAAAATTTTTGTTATAGCCAAATTTATAATTTAGATGAGCAATCCATTAATTTTCTTTGTAAATTTTGAAAATTTTCCGAATCATGCTAATACTGTGTTGATTTCTAACTTTTCTATTGGTCAATCAATTTCTTTTATTTACGATACTTACCTTCAATTCAAGCACTTGTTCTATTATTAAATAGCATCCTAATTC